CATATTGTTTGTTTCTGAACCATTTAAGGGCAAATTGGTGCCAGTGTGCCCCTTTACCTCTAAATACTTTATAGTGTTTATTTCCTAAGAGCAAGGACATTCCCTTATCTATGTTTTTTTTTTTTTTCAGATGACGAAACAAATGACCTTTAATCACAGAATTTTTGTTGTCTTCTTAATAAACATTGATTACCATACCATCATGAGTATAATGATTGTGATCTGTTATGATAAATTTTTTTTACTTACTGTTTATTTTAAATATTTTGTTTTTATTTTATTATTATTACTATGGCTTTTATTTTTAAATAATCTCTATACCCAATGTGGGGCTCGAACTCACAACCTGGAGATCAGGAGTCCACCGCTCCACTGACTGAGCCAGACAGGCGCCCCTGTTAAAATAAATTTTTTTTAAAAGATTTTTTTATTTATTTGACAGAGAGATAGTGAGAGAGAGACTACAAGCAGGGGGAGCGGGAGAGGAAGAAGCAGGGAGCCCAACGCGGACTGGATCCCAGGACCCTGGGATCATGACCTGGGCCGAAGGCAGACGCTTAACTGACTGAGCCACCCAGGTGCCCCTAAAATAAATTTTTAAAGAAACACCGTTGCAGGGGCGCCTGGGTGGCTCAGTTGGTTGAGCGACTGCCTTGGGCTCAGGTCATGATCCCGGAGTCCCGGGATCGAGTCCCGCATCGGGCTCCCTGCTCAGCAGGGAGTCTGCTTCTCCCTCTGACCCTCCTCCCTCTCCTGCTCTCTGTCTCTCATTCTCTCTCTCTCAAATAAATAAATAAAATCTTTAAAAAAAAAAAAAGAAAGAAAGAAACACCGTTGCACTGGTGTCCAACATGGGAAGACCTGAAATCGATCTGGAAACATAGATTCTCTTTCTACCCTTCCGTGTTCTCCACTGCCTGTGTGTATGTCTATGTGTGTAGTAAGCTATATGAATTTTATTTATTTTTTATTTTTATTAAGTAATCTCTAGGCCCATCAACTTGGGGCTTGAACTCAAGACCCCAAGAACAAGAGTTGCACTCTCCACCGACTGAGCCAGATAGACTCCCTAACTATATGGTTTTTTAAATTTTTTATTATTTATTTATTTTTCAGATTTATTTACTTATTTGACAGAGAGAGACAGCGAGAGCAGGAACACAAGCAGGGGGAGCAGGGGAGGGAAAAGCAGGCTTCCCACTGAGCAGGGAGCCCGATGCAGGGCTCGATCCCAGGGTCCTGGGATCGTGACCTGAGCCGAAGGCAGAAGCTTAAGGACTGAGCCATCCAGGCACCCCTATATGGTTTTTTTAAACATCAAAAAGCAAAATCTTGGGGAGTATGGGGGGAAAAAAGGCAAAATCTTTCATAAAAATTTTTCTTTGGGGGCTGGAGCGTTGTCTGCCCAACTGGGTAATCCAGCACCAATGTTTTCATTTAATGGTTCATTCATTGGTCCCAGTGGCAATGAAGTATTCTCTCTCTTTGGCTGAGGAAACTGAGGCTCAAAGAGACCAGGTGATTTATCAGATTCATGCAACCTTAGAGGCAGAATTCAAACCACCATGTCTGATGAAAATCCCCCTTGTAGGACATGGGGTCTGCCCCTCTGAGAATGAGTACTGGAGGAGGGGGTTTGGTGTGGGAGATATATATGGCATGCCCTTCCACCTAGACAGTGAAAGGAGCATTGGACAGAGTCAGGGGACGTGGGTACCAGCCCAGGTCACAGTGTGAATCCATATTCACGTGGCCATGGCAGACCTGCTGAGCTCCCCTCCAAATCCACATTATGTAAACCTTCCTCATTTAGGTAAATGCACTACCCTTCACCCAGATGCTTAGGCTAAAATTCTAGGGGCCATCCTTGATGCCATCCCTCCCTTTCCCCCTGGGGCCATCAGCACTACTTGGCCCGATCTCCACAATCTATCCCAAATTTAGTCACTTTTCTCCACCTCCTCTGCTCCCACCATGATCCAGGCTACGAACCTCAGTTTTCCAGATCAGGTCTCCTCCCCATCCACCTCCCCACTTGGATCTGATTTAAACATCTAAGTCAGATCACGGCTTAAATGGTGACATTCAAAATCCCTGCCATGGCTTATTGGTCCCACAAGACCTGGCCCCCCATTATTTCTCCCCTCCTCACTCCCTCTGCTCTGGCTACACTGGTGTCCTGGCTTTCCCTACCACATGCCATCCACAAGCTGAATCCTGACCTAGGTCTTGCCCTGGCTGCATCAATCCTGTCTCCATTTTATCTTCTTCCCAGATTGATCCACACCGGATAGTCTCTTATTTGCTTATTTATGTTCATTTTCTGACACTCCCTACCCAACAGGTAAGCTATGGGCTTTCCTGTCTGAATTCCTAGCCAGCTGCCTGCTACATAGCAGGTGCTCAGTCAAGGTCAGGCTGTCTGGCTGACTCACTTTGCACAAGTCCCTCTCTTCTCTGGGCCTCAGTCCCCTCATCTGAAAAGGTGCCCTGATTCTCCTTGCCCTGACTCCTCGTGGAGCGGCTCTGAGGCTCAAATGAGGTGGTGAATATAACGAATGAACTTTGCAAACTATAAAGTTTTGTGTCTTAGGGAGACATCGTGCCATTTTTCTTCCACCCGTTCTCCTGGCATTCACCCTCCTTTCCAAATGATAGGACTCAGAACACTTGCTCGTTGAGACCCTCTCCTTTTTTCTTCCTGAAATTAGGTGGTCTGCTCTTCCCAGAAATGTCTGCCTTGTCCCCAGAAACCCAACCCTTTGGCATCTAAACTAGGCCTCCTAGGTGTTCTCGGTGGTACATCTTTTGCCACGTGGCAGGTCTTGGCTTAGGGATCAGGCCCAGCAGCCCTCCCCACAAGCCCACCAGCTTATATATTTCTTTCCCCTAAAGGCATACCTCAGATGGTGGGGACAAGCCACAGGCCCTCTGGGAGGATCCCCTTCTTCCTACACGGACTGGAACCCAATTTTGGATGTTTGTGCCAGTGGCCAAGAAGTTCCTCCTGCTCATTCACAGGAGGCTCCCCCATCTCACTTTCACATTTCCTTAACCTCCATCCAGGTTCCTAGGTAGGACAAGATCCAATAGGTTTGGAAATGTTTGCAGCTGCCAGAGAATTTGCCATTTAGTTATTTGCAAATACCTGGTAGGAGATGAAGGGAGAAAGCTGTGCTTTTACTCAGAGAGCTGGAGCCCCGGAGGCAGGAAACCTGTGTTCTTTCATTCATTCATTCAACAAACTTGTGTTGAACTCCTCCTGTGGGACTGGAAATACAGCTTAGACCTAGACAGACAGATGTGGTTTCTGCCCTCATGGAGTATGGTTTATAGTGTGTGTCTATAACAAGAAAAAAACAAGAAAAAGAAAGATGTAAACAAGGGGGCGCCTGGTGGCTCAGTTGGTTAAGCAACTGCCTTCAGCTCAGGTCATGATCCCAGGGTTCTGGGATCGAGTCCCACATCGGGCTCCCGGCTCAGCGGGGAGCCTGCTTCTCCCTCTGACCCTCTCCCCTCTCATGCTGTTTCTCTCCCGCTCACTCTCTAATAAATAAATAAATAAATAAATAAATAAATAAAATCTTAAAAAAAAAGATGTAAACAAGGAAATATCCAAAACAATTTGAAATAGCTCTGCATGGGGTGCTTGGGTGGCTCAGGTCATGATCTCTAGGGGTCCTGGGATGGAGCCCCAAATCTGGCTCCCTGCTCAGCAGGGAGTCTCCTTCTCGCTCTTCCTCTGCCCCTCCCCCTGCCTCTCCCTCTGCCCCCTCCCATGCTCGCTCTCTCTCAAATAAATAAAATCCTAAAAAAATTTGAAATAGCTCTGCGAGCTACAAAGGGAATGACATCAGGAGGGATGGAGTGGGGAGGCTGTTAGGTGGGGTGGTCAGGAAAAGCATCTCTAGAAGATGACCTTTTGGGGAGAGAACAGAAAGGTGAGAGACTGGCCATGCAGAGTCCTCTGGACAAGGAATGTCCAGGAACATGCTTGATGTGTTTGAGGAACAGCCAAGAGGTGAGAAGGTTGAGTGAAGTGGGGCAGGGGGAGGATAGGAGATGCCTGGAAAGGCAGGCGGGAGCCAGCTCCTATAGGGCCTGTAGGCCATCCTGTCGTCATTCATTTTTCTTTCATTCTTTCATTCAACACATATTTATTAGGCATCTCCTGTGTGCTAAGATACACGGAGACCCTGACCTCGCAGTCTAATGTGTGGAGAAACACACAATGAACAGATAAACAAATATATGGATATAAATACCAGGTACAATAAATATTAGGAAGTACTGTTTTCCAATAGTTCAACACCCTTTAAGGGCAGAGGCACTTGAGACCTAAGAGTGGGGCTTCTTCTGCTTGTGAGGCCGGCTGGACCTGAGAACCCAGGCGGCAAAGGACCCGGCCGCCTTCCCTGTCTGCTCTCCTCTCCCTTCCCCTCAAGATGGCTGACAAAGGCCCAGCAGGGTGGGAGGAAGGAAGGACCTGTCCGAGGGTCCAGAGGGGGTGACTGACTGGCTGAGGCACGGCAGCGCCCAGGTGGCATTGCGGCTGGAGGTGGGGGTAGAGGGGAGACTCCGCCGCTGTGTGACTCCAGTGGGGGCACGTCCCTCTCTGGGCCGCGCATCCTGCTCAGGGTGGGGGGCGGGGACAGGGGGCCCCCGCTGAGTCCCAGTGTGTGTGTGTGTGTGTGTGTGTGTGTGTTTGGGGGGTGATGTCGGCTAGGGCCCCATTAGGGTCTGTTAGCCCGATGGGTGATTTAACAGGCGGGGGGGGACGGGAGGCGGCGCCTGTGGAGGAGGGGCGGAGGGGAGGCTCCGAAGTGATTTCAAATTTCCCTCGTCCCCACCCCCCGTTTCCCCCCCCACCCCCCGCGCCCGGGGCCGGCTCTGAGTGGCTGCGGCGGGGGCGCCCCCGGGCGGGGGCGGGGCGAGCGCCAGGCCGGGGTTACAAGGGGCCTCGGCACCGCCCCCTCCCCACCCACTCTCGCAGCCCGGTCAGGCCTGAGCTGCCTCGGCGCAGCAGCCGCCCCCCAGCCCCGCGGCCGCAGCCCGCGTGGCCGCTCCGAGCGCCCCCCGACGGACGCAACCGGCCCACTGGCAGGCCGGCGAGCGGGCGGCCGCCGCGCCAGGCCGGCAGCGCGGGGGTTAAGTGGCCCAAGTAAACGTAGTTCGGCGATCGGCGCCGGAGATTCGCGAGCCGAGCGCCCTGCGCGGCCGCCCGCCGGCCTCCCGCCAGCCTGTCCCGACCCGCGGCTCGCCCGCAGAGCGGCGCCCGAGCCAGGTTCTCGGCAGGTGAGCGCCCCGTGGCCCCGGGGAGGCTCGTCAGTCCGGGGGTCCGGGCCTGGTGGGGGAGGGGACAGCGGAGGGGTCCCGGGACTGCCAGGAGGGACCCTCTTCCTGGGACGTCCGGGGGAGGCGGCTCCCATCCGGCTGGAGACCCGGCATGGTAGGGGAGGAGGGGTGGACCACCTGTGGCAAGAAGGAAAAGGGGGGGAAAGGACATGTGACTTGAAGGGATACGAGTGGGATCCTCATGCTGTATTCCCAAGACCCCGAGGGAGAGAAGTTCGTCCCGAGGGAGGGAGACGGGTGGCCTTCTTGCGGTCTAGAGTCGAGGGGAGGACGTGTCCCTCCGGAGAGGAGGGGAGGAAGAAGCTTCGGTCATCGGGAGGGGGTGTCCTTACCTGCCCTCGGCTTCAGAGCGAGCCTCCTTATAGGCGGGGGAAGGAATTCAGCCAGGAAGGTGGGCGTCCGTCCTTCATGACTTAGACCTGTGGGTTTCAGGCTAAGGGGCCGTTTTCTCCCCTCCCAGGGATAGAAGGTAACTAGTGGATGTGCGGGCGAGCAGGTGGGCCAGGGTGTGCGCCAGAGGGGTGGTCTTTCGGGGTCCTCCCTAGATGAGCCACCCCGGCGAGGAAGGGCTGCCCTCTCCCTGTGCACACCTGGCGGGGGAGGAGCCGGGTCGGGGTGGCGCCGCCCTGCCCCGGTCACACTGCCTGCCCTGGGGGCTCACTTTCCATTTTTCCCCTTCCGGGATGAAGCTGGTCCCACTTCCCACACTCCGCAAACTGAGGTCTCAAAAGCTGTAGCGCCACCTCCCAGAAGAATAGCATCCCTCTTCTGATTGTCGGAGGGTAGGTGATGAGTCCCACTTCGCAGGAGAAAAAGTGGAAGCCAAGAGAGACTGTGGGGTGAACTTAGGAAGTTAGCAGCAGGGAGCCGTTCTTGGGCCCAGGCTTTCCTGCTGGATTCACTCACCTGTGGCAAAGAAGGGCAGCCCTCTGGACTCAGCCCCAGGACTGTGCTTCGACCTCCAGATTGCCTTTCTCCCTTATCCCCTGGCCTGAGAGGCTGAGCCCTTGTGCTTCCTCATCTCCCTCCGCCCCCCCCCCCCCAAGCTGAGAGGGTTCATGAAGTAAAGACCGTTAAGGACGCTATGAGTTTTGAACCGCCTCCTGATTTGTGGGTGCTGTGGGTTTGGACTGGTGGTAATTTTGCTGGGGAGGGATATCCCTTCTGGTGCCCTCAGAGCTACCCCTGCCCTCCTCTCCAACACCTGCTGTGGCTTCTTGAGGCCATTCCCCCCGCCCCCCAATGGGTTTCAAGGTTGCCATGATTTCCAGGGTGGAAATGATGATGGGGCTGGTATACAGTAACCATTCAAAGAAAGTCCGCCACTGTTAGCATCCTTGTGAGGTGAGCTGGCTGCCCTTTTTAAGGACATGCATAGATCTTTGCATGTATTTAAATTTGTCCCACCAAGTCCATTTCCCTCTGTGGTTACAGTTACTACGTCTGCGAAATAGGAACAATCTTACTAATAACTCCAGGTTGGATAAGAATGAAATCAGTTTTATTCACGATTTAACCTCTAACCCTCCATATTCTTTAGGTGTCTGATAGGTGTAAATAGCCCCTACCACACTGGGTTTGGTAAGGGCTTGATGGGGTAGTGCTTGGTATATAGTATGTGATGAATGATGACATCTGTATTAGTTAACCGATCGCCCCTATTTTTAGGGTAACGATTAATGAGAACAGGAGTTGAAGGGAGGGACCTCTGCTGGCCCCGCCTATCCTGCCTTCCTCCTAGGTACTCTATTCCTCTCAGCTATGAAAGCTTTTCCAAATCATTGTCCTCAATTTGGGAGTTGGCAGGAAGGAACGCCTTTGTTCCCTTTTGAAAGGAGCCGGGGTTTTCTTTTATGGGTTGGGGCCATTTTACCCCCCCCCCCAAAAGCTTGAGGCCTACCTTGGAGGCGTAATTGCAGAGCTAAGTGAGGTCCTTTACCTTACCCTGTTGGGGTGGAGAGGGCCCAGACAAAGGGGTTGGGGCTGGCTCCATCCTGCCCCTTAAAGCCATAGTCCTAGCCACCCCCCTTCAAAGGCTAGAAGGGGAGGGAGAGTATCTGGGAGCTGCAGGGGGTGAAAGGGAGGAGCAAGGGAGGTGGGAGGTGGGAGGTGGGGAGTGGGGGAGGCTGCTTCCCTTCCTTTCCTTCCTCCAGCCACGTGGGGCCTGCAACCAAATGGTGCCTGTCACCCCTCATTATTGCAGCCCTGGGGACCTGCTTCCAATTTGGAGTGTGGGCAAGTTCTCCTTTCAGGAAAACTTACCTTAGGATTCCTTTTGTCTGGGACGCCTGGGCGGCTCAGTTGGTTAAGCGTCTGCTTTCTGCTCAGGTCATGATCCCAGGGTCCTGGGATCAAGTCCCGCATCAGGCTCCCCGCTCAGCGGGGAGCCTGCTTCTCCCTCTGCCTATTTCTCCTCCTGCTTGTGCTCTTTCTCTGACAAATGAATAAATAAAATCTTAAAAAAAAAAAAAAGAGGATTCCTTTTTTCTCAGACCAGCTCTCATGCCAGCTGTCCAGGCTTCAGGCTCAGACACCTTTTCCAATTTAATCAGAAATTAACTCCTCCTGGGTCCTGGGTCCTATACCATGACAAATACCCGCGGGCCCCCCCCCCATCATCCAGCCCTTGGTAGGTACAGGGCCTCTGGCCAGAATCATTCTTGTGTTAGTGAGATGTTTGTGTTTGTTTTTGTTTTTGTTTTTTGAGATTTTATTTATTTGCAGAGAGACAGCCAGAGCAGAAACACAAGCAGGGGGAGTGGGAGGGAGAAGGAGGCTTCCTGCCGAACAGGGAGCCCAACGCAGGGATCAATCCCAGGACCCTGGGACCATGACCTGAGCTGAAGGCAGACGCTTAACGACTGAGCCACCCAGGTGCCCCATGTGTTTTTTTTTTTTTTTTTTTTTAATTGTGAACTCGGGTTGATTTTTTAGTTTCTTGGTGGACCAGAGAAGTGCAGAATTCCTCGTTTCATTAGCAGACCATCCTTTTATTTGTAAAGTGACGGGCAGATTTGTCTCCCTTCTTGGTGGGGGCTGATCTCTTCCTCTTGTAGCTGATGGGACCAAGGTGCTATGCAGCCCACTTGCTTCCGCACCTTGGTGGTTAGTGCTTTTCAGAACACTGCACATTTGCCGCCATCCCGGGGCAGTGCCTCCCTCCAGAAGAGAACAGTCCACTACAGGTGCTCCTATATCTGGCCGTGGCTGGAGGAAGTGGCCTGGTGAATGCAGAGCAAGCCTGCACATGGATCACATTTCTGGAGATCCTCGTTCCAATCTGTGAAGTGGGTAAAAGTCCACATCTACCCGGTGTAGTTATATCATCAGGACTAAATGGAATCCAGATCCTTTTATTTTAGTTGTTCATTCACAAAATAAAGGGGGGTCCCTAACCTAAGTACAGTTGACCCTTTTAACAACGCAGGGGTTAGGGACACTGCCTTCCTGCCCCCTCCACTTGAAAATCCAGTTTAACTTGACTCCCCCCAAGTTGAATAGCCTACTGTTGACCAGAAACACTACTGATAAGTCTGTTAACACATATTTTTCATGTTACATGTATTCTATAATTCTAAGAATAATACCTAACTTAATTTTTTTAGTATTTTTAGTCTATGCAGTTCATCTGAGTTTTTTCAAATTATTGGAAGTCTCCAAAGTTTTCAACTATTTGCTGAAAAAATTAATATATAAGACACATGTAGTTCAAACCCGTATTGTCAGCTGTATTATAAAAACCTGTTATCCCCTGGGTTATATTATCCGTCTGAGTCAACAAGGGGGTTTGGGCATTAGAATCAAGTCTGGATTCATGTATATACTCCATTTATAAGTCGCTGGCTTGATCCTCAGTTGCTCCATCTGTAAATTGGCCAACAGTGGTTGGCCAGTTGCAGGGGATGTTTAAGTCAGTTGAGTTGCTCTAGATTAAAAAATTCAGTAAATGTTGCATGTTACGGGGGCCCCTGGCTGGCTTAGTCGGAAGAACATGTAACTCTTGATCTCCCGTTGTGAGTTCAAGGCCTATATTGGGTGTAGAGATTACTAAAAAATAAAAAATACTGCATGTTATGTAGTAAACACTCAAATATTGGCAAGTGGTTATTATTTACTTCCTGAGGGAAATATCCCAGTTAGCATTCCTGAGTTTTTTCCAGGGAATAAGCAAAGAATGAGGAGGGCCTGCTTTGTGTAGGGAATTGAAATATTTAAAAAAATGACATTCAAGAAATATTTGAGGCAAATGAAAATCAAATTTACCATCCTCCGATGCCAAGAAGAAACTAGTCATCACCTGTAATTTCACAGTCCGAAAGTAATCAATGTTTTGTTTTCATTTTGGGGCCTCTCCATTTCCATGTAGACAGGACCAGGAGGCCTTTCTAAAAGAAGGGACTGGAACGCAAGGAGAGGACAGTGGCAAGGAAAGGTGGCTCAATTGGTGAGGTCCTTAGCACTATGGTCACCATTGGGGCTGCCTTCCCACGCAGCTGGAGGACAGTGTTGGAGGGCAGTGGGGAAAGATTCTCTGGAATCTGCCACCATTGGCTTCTGCTATTTTTTTTTTTTTTTTAACCAAAGTTGCCTCTCACTTCCCCCGCAGAGATTTTCATTCATTAAAACCTTGCGATCTATGGGCTCTGCCTTACTGCAAACCCCTGCCTGTCCTCTGCCTTCTCTCTCTCTCTGCTTTAGTTTTGTGTCTCAGGATCAAACTCTAATTTTCCAGGAAGTTGTCTTTTTTTAAAATGTATTTATTTATTAAAAGATTTTATTTATTTTGACAGAGAGCACAGGTAAGCAGAGGCAGAGGCAGAGGGAGAGGGAGAAGCAGGCTCTCCGTCAAGCAGGGAGCCCAACATGGGGCTCAGTCCCAAGACCCTGAGATCACAACCCGAGCCGAAGGCAGACTTAACCGACTGAGCCACCCAGGCACC